CGCTTCTCCTGAATGGCCAACACTTGCCGTCAATACAACTCCTAATCCTCTGTCTGTCGGCTCTCAAGCAGTACAACGAAGCGCTCGCTCTTTGCGAGACGGCTCTCGAGGAATATCCCACTCATCTCATTGTGCTCTACATTAAGGTATGAATGGCTTTCAGTTGTCTTCGAGTTGTCTCTTAACTGATCTGTGAATTGAAGGCACACTTAGAGGAAGTGGTGGGAGAGAGGGGTCGGGAGGAGGCGCTACTGACGGCCAAAGAAATGCTGAACCAATGGAAGTACGCCAACAGCGAAGAACACGACCGCATGAGTCATGGCTTCCATTACTACCCGAACGCCAATTACGACACCATTTCCATGAGAGTCGAGCAGACGTTGAGTGAAGTCGTGTCACTGGACTCGACGCCCGTCCCCACCGACGCCATGAGCACCGCAACGGTGGGCCACATGTCTGCGCACAACAACACTTCGGCCAATCGCGCGGCCACTAAGCCGTTGTGGTCGCTGCAGATGCACATCTGGATCCTCATCGTCGAGCTGTTCCTGAGGTTGGGTCACGTGTCCGAAGCCGAGTCCTGTGTCAATGAGGGAGCGCTCGGCATATTTGGCTCCCTTTCCCATCAACTCATGTACCTGAAGGGCATTATTTGCAAAGCGAAGGGCTGTCTGATCGACGCGAAGACATTCCTCCAGAACGCCATATCTATAAACCCAAGACATGCCAAAGCACTGCAACAATTGGGTCACACCTACTATCTGTTGGGCAATCAGTTGGCGGCCGACAAGTACCTGAAGGACTCGCTCAACATCGACGCCACTGTCCACCAGACGTGGGCTTATATGGGACTCGCCTTACAGGCCGTCGACGACCACGAGAGGGCCGCCGAGTGTCACCTGACGGCCCTTCAACTGGAGGCCACGGCTCCCGTCCTTCCGTTTAATGTGATTCCGCGCGCAGTCTTCGACTGAAATCTGTATATGTTTTACTCGTTTAGTATTATTTCAATTAGTTTTTGTGTATTTTTCTAATTTAACGTCAAATCAATTGTGAATATATTTGTTTTGTTAACTATTGTATCATTTTTATTATTTGTTGTTAACTTTGTTTAAATGTTTACTAAATACTAATATTAAGTTTTAGATGAAAACTCAAATCTAGTGTTTGATCTCAAAGTTGTGAATAGTTTGTCAAATACCGTAGTTTTGCATAAAAACCTAATTTAAAATAAACTATTGATTTGAAAAGCAATTGTAAGTGTGATCTCAGCTGACGATTGCGTTCACAATGTTGTGAATGAAGTGAACAAAAGTGTTGGCAATGAATGAAACGCCAGAAAACGTGTGACGAGTGCTATATTACGTGCGGATGACGTGTGGAAAGCCGTCTCCGCCTAATGATGAGGTGATCTCCTGATGGGGTGATTCCCCACACACTACTGGGCCATACATTCACACATTGCACGCAATTAGCAATTAATTGAATTACACAAAAAACACTCATTTAATGGAAAAGTCGTTGCATTGAAGCGATGGATGGCCTGAGAAGTTATGAGCGATAAGTGTATTCGCAGTGAAGAGACATTGCATTGAATCCAATGCTGGCGTACGTTACGTACGAATGCAATGCAACTCCAATGCAATCACTGATGCACTCCTTTCGCACAACCATTCAATCCATACGTTTACACAACTATTCAAACAGTTTTCGCACATTTTTATCATTTCTCGTCAAATGAATGCTACGAAAACTAAATCTAAACAAAACCGATAGACACGTGAAAATCGCGTTCAATTTGATGACAATCGCGATAATGACTGCAAAATAAAGTGCGAAAAAAGTTTTGCATTCATTCAGCAATGTTTGAGTAGTTT